CCGGGGGGGGGGGCTTTGTTTTATGTAATGAGGCGCAGGGCTGATGAGGCACCCTTCCTTCCAGCGAATACTGTTCCACATTTTGATTGTGCTGATCATAATTTGACTGTTTCTGACCACGGTCAAGCATGGGTTCAGACAAGGATGTTTCATTGGTAACAAGGATGAGTAAGGAAAGAGAAGGGCATTGCCAGGCATCAATATGTCTCTACCGACTTGAGTTATGAAAGAGCCTCGGCCTCAGGTGTGCATATTTTCAAGAAGGGAGCCATTAATTGCTTGAATTACTCTACACTTTGAATTAAATGGAACTGAGAAGACCACTTGTCCTATCTGACTGTTGATTCAGATAATTAATTATTTTTAATTCGGTACAAAAGAACTAGATTATTTTCTTGCTGGAATACCTGAAACCTGAATCTGAAGGTTCTGATGTCGACGTGTGGTAAGGAAATAATTACTGCTATGACCAGGTCAATTACTTTAATTTTCATGTGTCACATGAATCCCAGGGATTTGTGTTTCTATGAAGTCAAATTTGTCCTTTTCACTTTTGTTCACAGCCCCTGGGACCCGCAGGGGTTTCCATAAAAACAAACAGATTTTTAATTGAACAGCAGTTTTAATTTGCTTGAAATGAGCCCTGTTACAGAATCCATAAAAAAAGACGAGGCCAATATTAAACGACTACACTAACGGTAGGTTTCAACTTCTATCACACCACTGTTGTGAAATTCAACATATCAATACAAAAATGAAAGTGAGGTCCTATGTCTGACTGTGTCCTTTAGGAGCAGAACGGAAAACACACTAGGTACATAGGAATTCAAGAAATGTAACAATAAACAAACAATGAACAGACAAACGGGCAAATTTATGGCACAGCAACATCAGCCATAATAACGCCAGTTTGCCGGAACGTCAGCCTGCTGTAAAGTCCGACAGACAGATGGGCACATCTCCTACACGCCTGGAGACAATAGTTAAGGAGCAATGAAACAAGGAGAAAGTAGGTGTGTGTGTGTGTGTGAGAGTTTACATTTGAAAGCGAAAAATCTTTACAGGGACTATATGTTTCAACTGAGTGTATGTATTGTGTTTACTGTGCATTAAAATGTGTTATTATTTAGTATTAATACTGCGTCAATAACAGCTGACAGTGTTCTACTTATTAATGAGTGTATTTGTTTACTGTTAATGTGATATGACAATATTGTTCTTGTATACCAGCACCAAATAAAGCTAATATCAAACTGAATAGACAAAGGCTGAGTTATGAGAGTGTGTGGGTGGGTGAAGGGAAGAACGAGTGTGTGCGCGTGTGCTCGTGTGTGTGAGAGTCAATCAGCGCGACAGATGTAGTGAGCCTTTAAGTACTGACTCTGACTGAAATACAGTAACGACCCTGCGTTGTACAACACACTTTCAAAGAGATTAAGTGAAAAGCACAACACAGACATTCAATAAATTGCCAGAAAAAAATCAATGGCGATGCTCTGCTGTAACACAGTATGGGTATCTTTCATGGTGTGCTGAGAGTGCGTGCTTGTGTCGCAGCTTTAACAACACCTAGATACTCACAGAGGCATGTTTGGGGTTTTTGCAGGGTGTGAGCTGCAGTTGGTGTGTAGGTGAGAGTGCATGTGCCTGCATAATACAGCTCAGAGTGTTGTTTCACTTCTGGTGAGGGATACAGGACGGCCCTGGGCAGACTGGGGCTGCAGCTCTCGGCTGGCGTCTGTAGGACGAGGGACTCCATCATACTCCTCACTCGCTGATTGTGCTCCTCTGTGGGTGGTGGCTGCAGGACACTGCTCTGGATCTGAGGGAGCAGAAACGGAGCGAGAAGTTTCATCACGTTGAATTAAAAGGGAGAAGAGAGGCAGAGCCGGAGAGAGAAGCAGCCCAATAATGAGCACAAGACATAATGCCAATAAAGGGACTAAACGTTAATGAGCAGTGAAGAAGGAGACTGAACCAACAGAAGGGGAAAAAAAAAGTCAAATAATGTCTGAATCAGAGAAAAGAAGCTTAAGCTTAAAAAAAAAATGAAGTGCCTAGGCAAGCTGACAAAAGGCACATGTTTGTTTACAGTTACATCATACAGGAGGAAGCAGAGTGAGACTGACTCACTCACACACACACACCTGGGATTTGCAGAGTGCTAAATAAGTCAGCAAGACAGGACCCTCTTCTAACCCCAAAACAAAGCTATTTATCCCAGCTGTCGCAGGCACATGCAGTAGATAAGAATGTGAGGGCTGTGCAGCAGGAATTAGAGCTGTACTGTAGATATAACAGGCAATAAGTAACAATGATCACTCATCATAAACAGCTACAAGGAAATAAAACTCTTGTTCATCTTCACAATGAAGAGACAAATTTTACCACAGCTAAAAGGTCAGAGTGCATTTCCAACAGCTATGAGTGGACCCAACCGAGAGGCGGACTTTGAAAAAAAAAAGGACTTTGAGAAAAAAAAAGAATTACTGTGTTCACGAGGAACCGCCAAGTGCCGACACAGAGCCGCCACTGATCTGCTCCCCTGCAGGACTCAGAGATTTCAGAGACTAACTAAAGGTCACTTTAGAGTACGCGAGTGAATCCTGAGTTACTTAATCACATTATTCTTTTTGATCTTCATCTCTTGTCTGAAGATCTGAGCTGTGAGACGGCTGCGCGTTCCAGTTGGTGTACAACATTACACACAATAATAAAAAAGGTCTGAAAGTGCATTAAGGTCGTGTGCATCAGTGAAGCTGAAAAGGGCAACAGGATGATTTAAAAACAACACAGCAGAGTTGCAACCATATCAACACGATACAGTTCAGAGCTACAGCTGCGTGAGTACTGTCATTAAAGATCATTTCTGTTGTCACTAAATTATCATCATCTTCTTCAGGAGCGCCATAATCATCATTCTAGGCACCACTGGAGTAGGCAACTAAGGCTGCAGGGATCAAAGACTTCTTGTAACTTTTTGTCTGGACTGGTGTGGAGGTGGTAAGGATTAGAATTGATGGGGAAGACAGTGGGTTCAGACAGAATGGGTAATGTCTACTCCAATACTCCAGAGTTATGAAGATCAGAGTACTCAGGTCAGCATACTACCCTGACAAGAGCAATTTTTGATTTGACACCAACAAAGCTTACAGATATGTTAAAAAACGGACTACTACAACTGACCCTACACAGGGACAGAAGTGGAAGTGTTGCACTCAGACTTAAAGCAGTTTTTTTTATCCGGCAACAGTTCCCATCAAGTCACTCTGAAGGATGGTATTTTGAGAAACAAGCGGGTGAAAGAAAAGGCAAAATAATAAAAAAAAACCTGTTCCAACACAGTTCAGCAACCAAAAAACGAAGGTGAATGATGTGGAGTTAGTGGGAGAGCAACAATTTGGAGAGCAAAAGAAAAGGAGAGAGGAAGCAAAGGAACAGGCAGAGAAACAGAAACGGCTAGCAAGTGAAAGGCATAAGCAAGAATGAAAGAGACAAGAAAGAGTGATGGGTGAGTCCCTCAGGCTGAGGGAAGTTATAAGAAGTCTGCAGGCAGAAGACATTATGAAAAGGGACTCTCCCCAAAGACGAGCTCTGGTCTGCCAAGCTAACTAAGTATGCAGTGCAAGCTGCAGCTTCACCCCTGCTCACACTTAACACTGGATCATATAGGCGTACAGTACACACAGTTAGAGACAGGAAGACAAGCAAAAGCAGATATATCAAGAGTCTGACTGGAAATAACCACGAGATAAAAATGCATATGTGCTCACACAATGTGCATACACGGCTGCACACACACACACTCTCTCTCACTCACACACACACACACACACACACATATAAGACATCACTCTTTTAGGAGGGAGCAAGATAGGAATGTGATACCAGATCATTGACAAATGAGCACAGGAAACTTCCTGACTGATATTTTACTTCAGTCCACAGGCAGATCAACAAAAGCTATGAAAATTATGAAGTTCAATGTGTGAGTGTGTGTATGTGTGACAGATTGGAGCAGAGGAGATGACAGGGGAGAAAACTCATACTGTCTTGAGACTGTTAAGAGAAGTGTGTCTGTCACATTGAACCCTGCTTTCCCCTAAAATGCCTCCAGAAACACACATTTGAGCGCGCGCACACACACACACACACACACACACAAGGAAACAAACACATGCGCACACATTCACAGTTCATGATTCCCTGGCACACACTGCGCTGGGAGCTGAAGTGTGTGCCATCATTCTGTCACTGCTCTGATTCTGAGCTACTTTCAGAATACTCAATGTGTCTGGTCCTATATATGATGCCAAATTCAAGCTACGCAATCTGATGTGGCTGCTATTCCTTCTGTGTTTTATAAAGACTTGAAGCAAACCAAGATGGGCTTTATGCATTTGCTACAAAGCTAACAGGGGTAACGGCAAGGACGTGGTTCATCAGGTGTGACTTGTTTGAGAGAATACGTGCATTTGAAGCTAGTCCAGTTCCATATTTCCTCTGGGGATAATCTGGGGAAACTAAAACATATTATATGCTTGTAAAGCTCCTCAATAAACTGCACTGCCTCAGGTAGTCTTGCCATTATATTTTTGTGCTACTCAAATGAACTTAACTGTACAATACTAATTTCTGAATACAACACTGAGAATGTGTGAACCCAGAAGGCTCTACTTTCACAGCAGTAGAAACACCAGTGTCACAACCACATGATGGTATTTTTCTAAGCTCAAAATGCAATTTGCATGAACAATTCTTGTGCCCAGGGTTGGAGAGGACAGTGCCAGGAACAAGGTCCCCAATTTCAGTGTCCCTTTTTGATAATTTGTTCTTTGTATTAGTAAGATCAAAGTCAGCCTGTGATGGATATGCACAGCAACTTCAGAATAGTGCAGAATAACTTATACAAACAGTTTTTTATGCAGACAAAAATGAAACTGAAAAATGAAAGTTTTAATCAATGATTCACCAACCAGTAGAGGCTGAAACCAATTTTCTAACATCTATGCTAGTACAGCTATTAGGGTCTACATCCAATATCAGCAACGAAAGGCTGAACAGAGCACAGAGACTGGTAGACAAAACGTCTACTGAGAGCTGAAAAGATATCATTCTTACTTAAAGCTATGCATTCATGAGCTACGGTACTTGGAGGTTAGGGGTGGTGACTTCATTCTTACAGGATTTGACTGGCTTCCAGGATTTTGACAGTAAATCCAAATGGTATCCTGACTTGGCAGCTCTGACTGCAGTGTAACGAGCCGGTTGGGTCCTTGTGTGTCTTGGTTGTTACCCGTGTTGTGTTTCTCGCCTTAAACTGCCAAGTGAGGAGCTACTGGGATTTGCGATTTATTAAATTTTGTATTTCTAATGCAAACTATCAATCGATGTCAATGAGTCAAATATACCAACAGCTTCAATTTTATCATTTCCAGTGCACTAGGATGACATTTTTGGGATATTTTACATTTGCCCTACTATAGTCTGAAATCAGGAGTAGAGAATAAAATTAAAAGCTAATGTTTTCTCATGTAAGTATTTCTCTGGCTTAAGCACAACAGTATCCCTTCCGTCATGTAACTGACAGACGAAACTGAGGTCTATGGATGCAAAACAAGGTGCAGTAATCGGTCCTGACAGTTTCTGTGACCAGATGTAGATCATTACTGCCGACATGACCGATGATTCTGGACACCGAAGGGTATTTACGACTAACAGCTGCGCTTATTGAGTTAATGCCAATGAGAAACCCTATGAGATAGCAGTAACTCTTTGCTTTGTTTAGATCAGGGTGTCTGACTAATAATGGTACAATTATAATAGTGGAGTAAGGCTGCATGTGTGAGATTTGTCCCAGGCAGGCGCCAAACAGACAAGGTAGTCAGCGTGCGTTTGCAGAGGCGGAGGCATCAGCTCCAGATGACAGACAACAGGTCGGCCAGGACTTCAGGATCCACAACTGAGCTACGCCGCTTCTCAGACTTCACTAGTGACCTCTGATCTTACAATTTGCATGGGTCTTTGCAATTGCAGTGTTAAACTACAGCCCTCAGTAAACTGTTTACTTATTTACCAGCCTGTAAAGTTTGATGAAGTCCCACACTGAGGCTACAAATAAGCATTTTGCTACTGCAGTGCTGCTGTGCAAAATGCTGGTACTTTATTTGCATAAATAAACCCGGTCTTTCCCATTCACATTTCCCCCGCTGTCTTTGTATTTGGCTGCCAGTGCTGTTTCTTCACAACAAATAAACAAGCGTTTTAAAGTAAACACTGTGTGAACCCGACTGATACTGAACTTTGTGTGAACTTGATTTCTTTTCTTATTCTTTTCTAATTCATTCATTCATTCAAATAATGTTCATTCATGGGTAACGGCATTAAAAGCCTATTGCTGTGAGAATCCACTTGTTTTCAAAGTGTGTTCTACATTATTTTATCTGTGTGTGTGAGCACACCATGAACGAGTGTACCTGTGTGAGGAGCAGCCTGAGGGCCTGTGCTGCTTCTTCACTGAGCTCCTTCAGCCCCCTCCTCTCCACCGCCTCCATCACCTGGAGCAGGTCAGGCTGCCACAGCACGGCTGTACTGCCGTGCTGCAGGAGCTACAGAGGACACAAACAAAGAATAAACAGATAGACATACAATCGCACAATCATGAGCAGATGAGGTCATTAACAAACATGGGGGAGTGAGGAGAGTGAAGGAAAAAATGAAGAAGAGGGAGGTAGAAATAAAGAGAGACAGGAAAGCATCAACTTGTTATCCCTTTGAAGTGATTTGATATTTGGTTGCGCTATAATTGTGTAAAAATTCAAATTTCAGACAAAAATCAGACAAGAAGTGGTGTCTGAAACTGTGTATGTGACAGCTGAAAAGTAGTTCCTCTCCTGATTTCATTGAATAATAAATAAAAAGGAAGTGTTTAGAGCTTAGACTACAACACAATAAATGTTAATGACATTTCTTTCATTTTCCATGTTTTGTACTGTTAGCCTGCTTAACACTGTGCTGTATTCACTCTCACTACTAACTTTTGATACTTCAAATATCAAATATTTCTACTCAGAAACATGTCCAAGAAATTATACGTCTTATACTACTTTGAGTCGTGTGTGTGCGCGCGTTTTGTGTGTTGTGTGTGTAAAACCTCTCACAAGCGTGATGACTCTGAGAATGGCAGGGTGCAGAAGGCAGCTCTCTCCTGAGCTGAGCAGGCAGTAGATGAGGAATCGGCTCCATGGCTGACACACCATGTACTTTGCTAACAGATACACACACACACACAGAAAAGAAACCCAAGGGGGAGAGAAATGTCTAACTCAGATCAATTCCATTTCATTTTCCTCTGCTCCTCCTGGTGCAATTACTGTGGTTATGGTTAATGTCTGAAAACCTGTCAAAAGCCACATCAAAACAAACAGCAGGCATGTAAAAAACAAAACAAACCTGTATTCTACAATGCTGGAGATAATATGAGGAAGAATAATGTGACATATACTCTTTTTCATCTGGACACTAACTCTAAAATACTTGCTGCCAAACACATGACTATTATAACGCATGCATTACCTGCACACATACACACTCTTTCATTTCCCTTTCACGTCAGTACACTTGTACATGTTTTGTCTCTCTGTCTTTGTGGTCACATGTGCACATGTACAGGTAACCTACACTCATTCAATCCCCAACTGTCTCTCTGTCCGGTACCTGTAGAGGGACACTTCCTCTGAAGGAAGCCCAGCAGGGAGCTTAGACAGTTGACTGAGGCTCTCAGCAGCAACTCGTGCTTCTGAGGAGAAAGAGACATGGTAGAGGGTGAAACACAAGAGAGAAGTTGAGTATTTAAGAAAAAAAGGAACAAAAGAACATCGTCCAGCTCTAAAATGTCATCATTATTGCAAATGATTTGAGCCGCAGGAAGGGGACGTCTGACTGTGCTCTCCCTTTGGCAGAAATGGACACAAACACCGCAGCAGATGCACAGGAAACAGACATGGACTACGCAGAAACCCACAGACACATGCTCACCAATGGACAGAGATGTATTCAGGAACAAAAGGGAGAACAAGGGAACACTGGAGAGAGCGACTGAGTGAGGTTTTAATAATGCATGTCTCTCCCACAGAGGCGGTGCTAGCAGTGAGCACCATGTAGCGTCCAAAAATACTGAAGTAGGCCAGGCGGGTATATAGATGGCAATGGAGAGTTACACCCTAATCCTGAGGCGGAGAGGAGGTGATAGGAGAAGAAAGGAGTCAAGAGGATGAGTGGGAGGGGATGAAAGAGCGAGGGAGGTGAAGTGGGTATAGGGGTAAGAGAAAGGACAGATGAGAAGAGGGCAGATGAGGATACAGAGATGAAAGGAGAGGTTAAAATCAGAGCAAAGAACAGTGGTGAAAAGTGAGGAGAAAGAGGAGAGGCAAGAACCCACCAAGCCGGAGAATAAAGAGCAAAAGAGAGCAAAGCCGGAGCAAGAAAGAGAGAAGGGGAGTAGAGAAGTGTTTCTCATATCAGCTGCTGAACAGCAGACTACAGAGCAGTGAACCATAGAGCTGAAGCTCAGTTCAGCACTACAGTCTTTTACACAGAGAAGAAATGCCACTGGTGTGGAACCAGAGGCTAGCATGCTGCAGCATAACCACCAGATAAAAAAGAAATACGCAACGATGCCCAATTATCCCATAGTTTGCCTATTTTACCCTGATTATCTTTAGATCGTCAAACTCAAAAATATAAATCTCTCTTGAGCAAATGTGTTTCATTTTTTATTTACTTCTAATGATTGAAGCATTACGAATTAACTTTGAAATGGGTATCTGTAATATTTCTAATTTATTATAACATTACAATAACTAAATGATGTAGTAATGGCCAGTGTAGTAGAAGAGCTGTATTTTGCATGCAAATGAGCATCAAAATCAGCCCAGTGGTATTACACTTCATTAGCTGGAACTTTTTCCAGGATATTTAATAAACCCATTCAAATACATCACAGGCTTCTAACTCCCTCTGCAACTTTGACACCTTTCCCCTAGTTCAAACATCGCTTTGATCACCTCTCACCGCTGGCCAGGGCGACAGCATGCTGGTAGTTCAGGACATCAGTTTATGTTTTTGTTCTTTGCGTATTTGTCTCTGTCTTGAGCTGTAAAGTTTTAATGAGCTACCACTGCAAAACTGTGGCAAAAGAAATCATTTAGTTGTAACCCATGTGCATCTGGACCACCAAGAATTACTTATTAATCTATAAATGTTGTACTTTCAAGTTGCTTATCCTCAGAAGAATAAAATACATCAATGTGTTTAGGAACCCTTCATCTTGAACACAACCGCAGATATCTAAAGACAAATTCAATGCGCCAACACAAGGGCAAAGTGATTGTCAGTGACACTGAGGAAAAACTGTACATGGCTCCTTTACAACGTCTGCAAGCAAGTTTGATATTTGCCTGCACTGCTCGCCCTCTCACTGCTTCTGTTTGTTCATTCGTCATCAGCGTGCCTTGTATTACAATTTTCTCTTTTTGTGCAACTGTATACACATGTCAAGGATAATCTGAACTCCAGTCTGTTTAATGTACAGTCTTGAAGTGAACTGTATTCAAGATGTATCCTATTGCCATTTTATGGTCAAAATGCCACTACTATTGCTCATACTGGAGCTACTCATAAGTCCTGCAAGCCTTGTGATTCATTGATTTACAATGTCTTAGCTTCAGTCATACAGAAAAATTGCACTCTTTATTGTGTGGCTGTTCAGCTCATCCATTAACTGATGTCAGTAAAGGTAGTAGCCAATATACTCCACTGCAATTCAGTGCTTCACATTTATGTACAGTGGTGCTTGAGCACTGCTTTGATCATAAAGAATTACCACGTTTAAAAACTGTAAAGGCCTGTGAAAGTATCAACATATGCAGTAGTTCAGTGCACAGATACCATTCTTTATAATCTCTTTGATGGAAGGTCTATTTACTGCCTTATTTTCGGCACTGGATTACTGATATTTTGCACCATGTTGTCTCTGTGCTGGCCGCCACCCAGGAGAAGTAGCGCTTCACCTATTTATTGTTAAATAAATGGCGGTGACAAGTCGGCCTCTTTTGTCACAGGCAACCAAAGTCAGTACGCCAGCTACATGTAATAACATTTTTGAGACAACTGAGATTGCTCTGGATATGTGTGTTATTCCATTAAGCCAACTGCTGAATCAATGAAAGTCTCATTTTCTACACAAACCTGTTTGTGAAAGGAAGGTTCAATGTTATGCCATTGAGATTACCTTCATGGTGTCTCTGCGGCAGATTAAAGAGTGCAGAGTAAAATAAGGGAGGGGAGGCATCATCGTCATATCAGCATTTACACCCACTGTGTGTCTCTGTTTGAGGATGGATGTGGACACTGATAACTGATGGAATCTTTTGATTTTTAATTATCTGAATCAACATTTCTGTAAATATTTGTTAAGATCCCAAATAAGCAAATATTTGCTTATAGAATTAAGAACAAAAAGACTGCATAGGAATTATCAGTGTGCAGCTCTCTTCTCCTTTTTTTGAGGATATATATATATATACAACAAGGAATTTATGAAATGTTGCAATGGCAGTGCCTGGAGTAGACTCATTTTAAGGTAAAATCCAAATCCATGGAGCTATCTGTGCCAATATTGACTATTTGACGGTATCACTATTTGCTTAAAAGGTACACATTATACTCATTTTCTGACTCATATTTTCATTTCAGGGATCTAATAAAAAAAAATGTACATGCTTTGATTTCCTCCCTCCTGAGCAGGCACCCCCCACCAACTCCACACACACACACACACACAACACGAGTTTCAGGTGTTACCCTGTGTTCTGCCTGCATGTTGCTCGGAGGAGTGCACACAGCTAAAACCAAAACTAACAGACATAATTTCTAAGGCTGTATAAAAACAATATGATCTTGTATGTCAAGTTCATTAATGATGATAAATGATGTAAAGTTTATGAACATCTACACTAAGTAGCAATGTTTTCATTAATCTCTCAATATTTCTGAATGCAAACTCTTTAATGTTCTTTATCAATATGTTTTCAAGAATAGTTATATCACATAGTTCAGATAGTTGTACTAAAATGTTATTTTAAAATGAGATGTAAAATAAAACCATTTAATCCCTTAATACTTTGATGTGAAGTGTCCTTACCAAGTGCTCTGCAGAACTGATTGTAGCTCAGAGCAGCCTGAAACTCTTTTGTCTTTCAGAGAACATTTTTACATTCATTCCACTCAGGTTTAGGAACTAATATAAATGAGAGAGAATCACCAGTTTCCTTTTCACACCTACATACTACTGCACACACACACACACACACACACAAACATACATATATCCCCCCCAAGTACTACAACCTGCAAAAGAAGTCCACTGAGAGCAGTTGAGAGGAACTGGGCCCCTCTGCAGCCGAGCGGGTACAAAGCGCCGTCTTCGACCCCCAGGGGTCTGGGCCCGACCAAGCCAGGACCAGTGCTCACACACACCACTGCTGATGCCAGGTCAACATCAAGTAGAGCCTGCAGCAACCTCAAGTAGCTGACTGGACAAAGAAAATGAGACAGAAACCAAAGGGAATTAGGAGGAGATGGAATGCCTGAACACACAGGAGGTAAAGGAGCGAGCAAGCAAAGATGGAGAGTGAGGCCACAGGAGAAACAGGTGCATGGTAGAACTGGAAAGAAAAACAGTAAAGAGTGAGTGATTGAACAGAGCGGGAAGTGAAAGTTTGGAATAAAAAAAGACGGTAAAAGCAGGCAGCAGAGGGAACAGAGGCACAGAGGGGAGACAGAGTTAACACTTGAAAAGAATTGAGGGCAATTTCTGAATTGATATGTGACAGAAAGGGAGGCCAAGAAGTTAAAGATATCAGTGCCAAGTGTAGAGAGTGTGTGAGGCAGTGAGAGACAGGGTTGATGGAAGGTCAGCAAGACTGAGGGACCAAAGTAGTGATGGAGATAAAGAGAGAGACACGGCCAAAACGATTGCGAAAACACAGTGGGATCCAAGCGGAGAGCAGCCAGACATTTGATTTGCACTTATCCCATGTACACTGAGATTAGAGCTCTCTGAGGGAGGGAGGACTCAATTAGTGGCAGAAGAAGAGAGGGACGAGAGACCTGGCACAGAGACAGAGAGGGAGATGGTTTGATGGAAAAAGAAGGGCAAAATGGGAAGCATAAGGGAGATACAAAAGAGACAGAGAAGAGGCTGAGTGAGTGAGGGAGTAGAGAAAGACAGAAAAAGAAGGAGAGATAGGCGGCCAGAGGGATGAAGCCGATACATCACAGCAACCCTGACAGGCCACTTATCCAACTGACAGACAGAGACACAGCAGCAGCAGGGATGATCTGTCTCCGAGTGGTGCAGTGGGATGTGGGGCACTTAATATAATGAAAGTGTGTGAAATTCATGCCCAGGGTTTGGTTACCTCCGCTGAGGATAAAACATTGACAGTCACTTTACCTGTGCAGGGGGTGAACCTCATTAGTCTGTCCTGAGGTTTACACAATATATGGACAGTCGCTGTAATAATCAGGGGTGCCTGAGTGTCTGCTGTACTAAGGTATCTTGGTTTTACACACCCTCTAGTGTGTCTGTAATTGCACCGGAGAGTGTAAAATGCACTAACCCTAACCCTAGCAGGATGCAGTTGAGAAGAGATTGAGAGAAGCTACAAAACAGGGAGGACAGAAACAAATGGGAAAGAGAAAACAAGAGCTCTGCACAAATGCACACATGTAAGATGAACTGCTGATGCTTCAGCTCTATGGTTCATTGCTGATGAACTGTTTTCAGCTTTTAGCAAGGACAGAAGTCTTTTAAAAATACATCACCAAATAAAACTGAGTGTGTTACCTAGCAAGAGACTGTCTGTGTTTCTTTTCTGAACAAGGAGTCGCTGCACCACTGTGTCCAGACTCCAACTGATGCTCTTGTGGACCTTAAATAATGGAGACAGAGAGAGAGAGAGAGAACAAGGAAGAGAGGGGAGACTCAGAAAAATAACAAGATTAGTACCAAATATCTCATTGCATGTAAGAATGTATTATCCCTGCAGTGTGAGCAGAGAGCAGAGAAGAAAGTGCATTGTTTTATACCACAGCCTCACTGTGATATGTATTGAAACAAATACCAATTGGTGTTTGGTATTCTGCGCCCACATCTGAAACTATGCTCTGTTCTACTGTATGTTCTTTGTCTTGCCCTTGACTGTGCCTTGCTGTGTTAAGTTCCTGAAGTTGTGATAAGAGCGAAGCTGTGCTGTAGTGTGTACCTGAGCGGAGTGAATGCGCTGCAAGGTAATGAGGGAGGACAGGAGTAGATGGCTGCAGCACAGCAGTGCTGAAGGAGGACAGGCTGGAGCAGAAGAGGAGGAGGAGGAGGAGGAAGAAAGGACTGTCTGCAGCTGGTCCATCAGTCCACTGTTGGAGAGCAGCATGGAGACAGCTGGGGAGGAGAAGGCACTATGTCATCACACTTTGCTGGGGTCTGTGCGTGTATGTCAGGATGTGTATGTGTGTGAATAGCAGTTGGTCTAGATGACTGCAGGGTGACGTGCTGCAGGCACCAACCCACAACTATACAAAAACACACACACACACACACACAGACTTTTGGAACATTACAAACTGATAAACTTGGTAAACTTAATACTTTCAGGCACAATCAAATATATACACACACAGGCTTGACCAAGTGCATGGTGGAACTATCTTTTGATATGACTTAATATACAATGTGGAAATTACACTGTTGCATCAGCAAAAATTAATAGATACAAAAGCAAATGATTCCCATAACACTGGGGTTATATGCAGTACATAGGCAGCCAACCGGGTCAACTGTAAATACTAGAAAAAACTAAAACTACATATTATTTAAAGATATAATAACCTAGTTTTTCCTTTGAGTTAGAGGGTTGCTATTCCTGTCCTCCTCACCACCAGTTGAAACACCATCTAGCCTGAGGCTGAAGTCACTTGCATCAGTAAATTCACTACTGCTGATGAAGAAGCAGTTGGGGAAAGTAGGCAGGCTGCAGCAGAAGTATGGAAAATTGGAAAATGCTATGAGCATAATTAGCTTTGCTTCCCAATCGTATTCCTGCTCTCTGGCCACCAGCCTCACCTCATTAACTATAAACCAGCTCATTGCTGACCTCTGCTGAGGTATTTTGTTTCTTGTTCAGGTTAATTATTTAGCTTGGAATAAAATCAATGCCAATCAATATGCCATGTCAAATAAATGATGTGTTCCTTAAAAGGCAGTGATGATTTGATGCCTCCTGAATGCAAATTATTCTACAATTTATCATATTTTTAGTGGAGTCATTTTGTCTATATTTTGGCTCACTGATTCTAATCTTACTGTGAATTTTGCCTTCTCTTGAACAGATATATCTAATAAAACCTTTAGAAGACCCACATCGTTCTTATTTTTCTATCACCTGCGAAAATAAAAATAAACTGATTGTGGCATTGTGTGTGCCTTTCTGTGTCTATGTCTACTAATCATGTGACTGTGTGGCTGTGTGCACGTGTGTGTGGTTTGGTCTATGCGTAACATATATATTTAAACAAGGTGACAACACAACCCCGAACGCTTGTCGTGCTTCTGTGCAAATGTGTGAGAAGCTCTCAGACTTTACAGCATAACCTTGAGTGTCTAAGTCAATGTGCAGGACCGAGACACAGCCTTTGTACTGTTATTTAAAGATGCACAGTGGGTGTCAGCTTGTATGCTTATAATTTCTTGTGTCTCCATGCAACATGCTTGTCCAGGTCAGCCTCACCTCTGTCAAAATATGGTAGAGGTAAAAGGGAAGTGAAAACAGAGGGACAGTGAGATAGAAACATAATGAGGCAGAGGGTGAAGAAAAAGGCAACATGTGGAGATAGACAGGAAGAAAGGGTGTCTAACCTCTGTCAGTGCAGTGTGCAGGGGACAGACTTAGGCAGCAGTACAGGTAGCTGAGGGCAGGAAGCAGGCTCTCTGTGTTGGTAGGCTTCAACCTCCCTGCTATATTACTCACTGACACACACACACACACACACACAGATTTAAGTCTGATGGCTCCCTTATCTAATATTTTATCTGCAGTGCTCTCAAACGCATTGGATAAAAATTTCATTCAAGAGAGACACTGAGACACGATGTGACAGATAAAATGTAACATGATGGGATTCGCCATTTACTGCCTGTCACATCATGTCTACCACCGGTCAGTAGAGACTGAATTAATCTGATCTGCCAACGAAAATGTCAAAGATGAGGGCCTGTAAAATGTAACTACAAACACAAAATGAGGTTGCACTAATGCAGCACAAACTAAGTGGTACAGAGGGATGAGAGTCACAGAGGGATGAGGAGTGTTGACATCGAGGCAAAAAGGAAAGCAAATTTGTCTCTAATCATAATATGCTAACAGTTATAATTTGCCAAACGAGTAATAAATTTAAGCATTTTCATCTGCAGATCATCAGCAAGCACTCCTCTGAGTATGTTTGCTGATGATGATATTTAGTCAACAATGAGTGAGTTCTCCACTTAGGAAGGAATACAGGTGAATGTGGAGAGAGTTGAGACAGACTCAGCAGGGGCATGTATTCAATTGACAGATATGAGATGTAAGTGTTATTACTAGATGATTCTGTGTCTGTAATTTAGCATGTGTAATTGAGAAGTGTCTGTGTGTGAGACAATGTGTGTGCGTTTGTCTCGTTGCCCAGCAAGCATTTTATTGAATCTACCTCTAATGCAGGGCGTTTGTTTGACTATGTAAAGTAATGCAAACAACGTATGGGAATTGTGTGTGCTCACATGCAAATAGACGTGTGTCGTGGGGAGGGGAGTCAAGCACAGTGTGACCTGTCAGCATCTTATGACCTTACCATGGTAGAGCAGCTTGAAGTGCACTCCGTCCATCTTACTGTAGGAGGAAGATGAAGGCGGGTCGCTGGCCTGCGTCTCACAGAGCAGCTTCAGCAGCAGAGGGAGTGAGTTCACCGCTAAACAGAGAGAGACAGAAACAAAGTACGACGGTCAACGTATGTGAAAAGGAGGCCAGAGAGGCAGACAGACAGATATATATATATATATATATAAACAGAGTCGAAGCGCTGTGAAGAAGACAGAAGTTAAACTAAAAAGTAATAGTATAAAATAGTGAAGAGTAAAAAGATACAACAGTGTATGTCTGTGTGTGTGTGTGTGAGAG